CCCGCTCCGCCAGCCCGCCCGGCCGGCCCCGCGCCCCGCGGCACGCGAAGGGCGCCCGGCGGAACTCGCACAGCAGCCGGCCCGGCCCGGGCTCGGCCGCCTCCCGCGGGCCCCAGGCGGCGCAGAGCACCTTGGTGCCGCTGCCCAGCTCCACGTAGGCCGAGCCCTGAGCCTGGCTCAGCAGCCCGGCCCGCGCGAACAGCGGCCGCAGGGAGCAGGGGTCCCGCGGCGCGGCCCCCGCGCCCTCCTCATCCTCATCCTCGGCCGCGAGCGCTGCCCACAGAGAGGGCGGCTGCGACTCCTCCGGGCCGCACAGGCGGCGGTGATCCAGCGGCATGGTCGGCGGGACGGCGGCAGCGGGCGGGGACAGGGAGGAGGCGGGGACGGGCAGGAGGAGGGGACAGGCACAGGCGGTGACAGGCAGGAGGAGGATCCCACCCCCTCCCCTCCCATCTCGCTCCCCCAGCAGAGCAGGGCCGCAGCGAGCAGGGCAGGGAACCTTTATTGACAGGAAATCCGCGCAGGGGAGACAGTAGGAAAAGGGGGCCGGGGACCCCCCTCAGTCAGTTCTTCAGCTCCCCCAGCCGGAGCCTAGCAAAGTCCGTGGCCAGTTTCAAGGCTTCCTGCAGGCAGCCCACGTTCTTGCCCGTTGCCTGTGCAGAGATGTCCTTCCCACCACCTTTGCCATCCATCAAGCCAGACACCTCCTGCACCCACTGGCTGGCCTTCAGGCCCTTATTTGCAGTCTCCTGGGCAAGAAAAGGGAAAAAAAAAAAATCACTGGTCAGCACTGAGGGACAAACAGCTGTCTCCCTGACCCATGCTACATTCTGACTCTTCTTCCCCATTTGCACAGCACAACCTTTTTCCCACACTTCTGTAGATTGATGATACACCAAAGCATGAGGGTTGTGGCTCTGGCCAAACCCAAATCAATCCTGGCCGTGGAGTGTTCGATAGTTCCTGCCTGGAGGCTGCATTTCCTCCAGGAAGGCTGAGGGAGAGGCAGATACAGAGTGCCTCAGCATTACCTGGGGTACTTGACACAGGCAGGTGATCCTGCCAGCTTCATTATCCACAGCAAAAAGCATGGCAGCAGTCTGGGGGGAGTTAGTCTTGAAGAGCTTCAGAGATTCATTCAGGGCCTGTAAAAGAAGAAAATTATTGCAGCACATCTTCCCTGCACTCACACCCAGCTCACCTCCAGCCCCCATGGCACCCACAGAGACCTCAGGGATCTGGACTTGCATTAAACCAGCCAGCATCACCCTGCTGTGCTCCTCCTCCCCACCACAAGCCTAATTCACATCCCTCGCAGTGTAGAAGCTTTGGCAAGTGACACAAGCCCTGTCTGTGTACCCTGAGGCAGGAAGGAGAAACTGCCTTCATTTCTCCACCTTCAGTTATCCAGGAACTGGCAGAATTTGCCCCAGAGTGAACCTTTGCCTGAGTACTGACTGGAGGGAAAAAAGCTCCCCCCAGCAGGAGGGAACAGCTGTTCCAAAGTGACTCAGGAGAACTCAAAAACAGCATGAAGAGGCTGCAAGGGTTAACAGACACAGCAGGCACACAAGAAGAACCAGGGAGATTGCCATGCATCCTGCTATTCCCAAGGAGAGCATCATCCCTTGTTCACACAGACAGCACGATGCAGCACAGAAGCTCCAGGAGCAGGTCCTCTGGCAAGCAAAGCAGCGCTGCTCTGGGTGGATTGGGAACACGCAGCTCCCCGGGCTGCCAGCACTGCCATCCCCTGGGATGCACCCTTCTGCCAGGGAGAACACTGAGATGGCACCCACTGCGAGCGTGGGTGTCATGGTGACAGGGAGGGCCACAGAGAGCGAGCAGGATCAGCTCCAAGACTCACAGAGTGGAAATTTAAACAGGGCATTAAAACCAGAGCGCTCCAACCCCAGGCACGATCAGTCCCTGCTGCCTGGCACTTGCTGGGCTCAGCACTGCAGCACAGTGCACAAAAGGGAGCTGTTATTCCAACAGATATTGCTTGGAAAGAAACTTGTATGTGGAGGAGGGAAGGAGCAGATTTAACCCTGGCTGTGGAAGAACCTGAACCCAGCTGTGCCTGGGGGGCAGCTCTCTGCCCAGCCCTGTCCACACAGCCAGCCCAGGACAATGCTCCTGGAGCTGATCTGCAGGGGCCACAAACATCATGACTTCCACTGCCCAAGCAGTCCCTCCTCCTCCTCAGGGACAGCAGGTGTGAAGAAGGAGAGCTCTGTAGCACTGCACTGCCTCCCCAAGGGAGCAGAGACCACCCAGCTGCTCCTCAAGGCACAAGGAAGGTTGTTGAAGAGAAACCAGGCCTTCCCATACCTTCGCAGAGGCTCCATTTTCCATTTCCATGATGACCCATGGCTGATTAGGGTGACTCTCAATGACTTGCTTGGTCTTCTCCAGCACCTGAGGACAACAGCGGTGAGAAAACAAACACCAGAGTGCCCACAGGGTGTATGAACACAAGAACCACAAAGGTAGAGCTTCCCCTGCAGGTACGGAGGCCCCCAAGGTGCCCAAACACACCCACAGCCCAGCCTGGAGCAGCCTCACACTGTGGAGCCAGGAGCAAAATATTTTGGCAGGTGGGTGTGTGGCCTGCAAGGCAGCAGCAATGCTATGTGTTAAATCCTCCTCCAGAAAACTCCAGTGGGATCCAGGAGGAAGAAGCCTGCACCCAGGGGTACCAGTAGGGCAGGAGCACCCCTACTTCCAAGACACATGCCATGCTTCAACGCAGGGAGCAGGCACAGAGGTAGCTGTGCTCTGGGAGGGAGCAGGAGAGGCTGGAAGACTGAACAGTGTGAGAAGTGTCCCCACAGCTCAGCTCCCTTCCACAATGGACACAAGCAGAGCTCCCAAGGGAGTGCCCTGCAGCCCTCCCACACTATCCTTTATTCCAGCCCAGGGCTCACCCGTTTCTGGATGTCGGCTTTACTTGCACGGTCCAGGTCATCCATAACTTTCTTCAGCGCTTTAACAGCCTCTCTCAGCTCATCTTTCTGCCACTGTGGGATAACAGCAGTGGCCAGAGTCTGCAAAAGACCAGGTGGAGAGGGTTAAAGGTACCAGTGACCACAACCAGGAGATGCTGCACCTCATGAACCTCAGTGCCTCAACTGGCAGAGCCCATTAAGCTCCACTCCTCTCCCAGTGCCAACAACCCACTCAGGAGGTGCCAGCTGCAGCACCCATGGGATGCAGGGCTGCCAGATAGGAGCAGGAAGGTGAACATGGGCCTCATTAATGCAACCCAGTGCTGGCAATCAAGGTCCCACTCACTCTGGGGAGGCAGAGCACTGCTACCATCCTCACCTCACCGAGATCCGCAATCTCTTTCTGCACATCCTTGTTGGGAGCTGTCTGGACCTTCACCTTGGCCTCCAGGGCTGACAGCACTTTCCTGAGGCTGTCAACTTTCCTGAGGGCCTAGCAGAAAACAATCCAGGTTAAATCAAGCACGAAGACTGAGCAGGCTGGGCTCTTGACCACCCCAGGGTAAGAAGGGAATGCCCCAGCACGGAGCTGAGTAACTCCTCCAGAAGACACAGAGCCAAAGCAGGCAGCACTTGACCAGAACCAGGGTGTGATGATAGCAGACAGGCCCCAGGACTCCTTCTTTGCCAGAAGCAAAAGAAAGATCCTCAAAAACAGAAACCATCTCCCCCATGAACTCCTTTCTCCCACTCTAGGAAGCACTAGCCCAGGCTAGCCCAGGATCTGCTAGCCCAGCAGCAGAGGACTGGGTTCTCAGACTTCACCACTCTCCTGCCAGCCTTGACAGCTGCTGAGAGCTCTACATCTGCAGCCCATTCTGCTAAGCAACCTGAGCTATTCCCAGAGCCATCCACAGACCACCCCGGGCCCCTCTGCCCCCCGACACAACACTGAGAAGTCAAGACTTCTCCCCTTCTTCCCTGCTCTCTCTGTAGCACAGCCAGGGCCTCCAGCCCAGCCTCTGCCAACA